CACGCTGTTTTGGCTATTCTTTAAACTTTAAACTTCTATTGGATGCTGAGAAAAATCTCTAACGCTTCTATTGGTTATTGAAAAAATGTTTTTCTATTGTTAAAAAAATCTACACATATTGGGTACGGAAAAAACATTTTTTTTAAACAATTCAAGCTTATCTAATAATCTATAAGATAATCCATCCTATATTAAAGCTGCAATTGTAGTTTTTTATTTTATTTGACTTATTTATAGTCTACATATTTGTGAGAAATATTTCATTATATTTTATTAAATACAAAAAAATCATATATTCAATTATTTAGTCAAAAATATATTTTTTCAATTATTCATACCATGTATCTATTAAATCCCACAATCAATTAAACAAAACACCGACATGGCAACTCTCGCAACCATCAAAACAAAAAAAGCTCTCGCTATTGTGTTGATAAACATTCCCCCATTCCCAAAACAAACAACAATAAAAGCTCTTTTTCGTCAGCAATAATGCAAAAGCTCTTTATAGCAAATACATAATCTAACAGCAAAATTAACAGTCTTTCCCCTACCCATACAGGCTTAACCCAATGATAATGTACAAATTTTAAAGTACAAAAAATAATGTAAACGAGAAATAAAAAAAAACATTGATCTTCACAAATGTATGAAACCATTGGCTGTGTTAATTTTTTGTATTATTACTACAACAACAAAGACATTTATTTATTATTAAAATATAAAAAATAAATAATAAAAATAGTAAAATAATATAAAAAAGTATTTAAATTAATGCAACTATACAAAATATAAATCAATTACAAAACTAAATTAAAAAACTCCACAACAAGAAATCATCATGTCAGCTGTCAAAAGATGGATCTATCGTCATGCCCATTCGTCGTCATCCTCATCGTCCAGTTCAACGAAAAATCAACGTGGACGCAGTCAGTCGCTGGATGTTCAGGCATTGGAAAATAGCGGCATCAGGACGTTGTTGCAAAATGTAAAAACAGAAACTACAATTAAAAGATTTATTTAAGCATAAATGTTTTATCTTAAATATTTAAAAAATTAATAATAAAAATATAAATAAAAAACTATTCAGCCAGGCTGAATAAAAGTTTTCCTATAGAAAACTCTATTCAGCCAGGCTGAATAAAAGTTTTCCTATCGGAAACTCTATTCAGCCAGGATGAATGAACGTTTTCCTATCGGAAACTCTATTCAGCCAGGCTGAATGCAAGTTTTCCTATCGGGAACTCTATTCAGCCAGGCTGAATGCAAGTTTTCCTATCGGGAACTCTATTCAGCCAGGCTGAATGAAAGTTTTCCTATCGGAAACTCTATTCAGCCAGGCTGAATGAAAGTTTTCCTATCGGAAACTCTATTCAGCCAGGCTGAATGAAAGTTTTGCTATAGAAAACTCTATTCAGCTGGGCTGAATGAAAGTTTTTCTATAGAAACCCCTATTCAGCTATAGAAAACTTTATTCAGCCAGGCTGAATGAAAGTTTTCCTATCGGAAACTATATTCAGCCAGGCTGAATGGAAGTTTTCCCGTCGGAAACTCTATTCAGCCACTCTGAGTCAAAGTTTTCCTATAGGAAAACAATATTTAGTTTCTTAACGAATTAAAATTTCACTGAAGAAAATTATATTTAGTTAAGCGGAATAGGGAACTCTATTCACCTAAGCTGAATATAAGTTTTTTCCATGATACTATATTCAGCTATAATATTCAAGCCAAAAAATATATTTCTATCTCTAAAATAATTTCTAAGATTTCGAGGAAGCTGTTCTGACCATAGAAGATCTCTTGAAGTTAAGTTGTTCAAGTAAGGTCTCTAGATGATTCTCGGACTTTTAAAGGTCTCTAAAAATTGTTCTGAATATAAAATACCTCTTTGGGCTGTAGAAGTTCTCTTCTGGCTACACAGAGTCTTCTGATCATAGAAGGCCTGTAGAAAGTCCTCTGTCTGAAGAAGCCCTCAGACTATACAGGGTTATTAGATTTTTTAGCTTTAGAAGGCCCCTAGAAAGTTTATCGAATTTTGAAGACTTCTTCTGGTGAGAAAATCTCTAGAAAGTAGTCTGGTCATAAAAGGTCTTTAGAATCTATTCTGTTTACAGTGGGTCTCTAGACTATAGAAGACCTATTATGGTTTTTTATTGCCTCTAGAATTTCTTTTGCCTATAGAAGGCCTCTGACTACAGAAATTCTGTCGAAGAAATTCTGGCTTTGGGAGACCTCTAGAAAGTCTTCTGACTATAGAAGAGCTCCCAAAGTTGCTTTGGCTATAGACGACCTCTAGAAAGTTACCTGGTCACAGAAGTTCTGTAGAAGTAGATGTACTTCTACAAAACTTCTCCAACTACAGAATATTTCTAAAGATATCTGGCTATCAGGTATCTGGCAATTTAAAACCTTACTCGGATCTAGAATGTGTTCTGGCTTTAGTAGTCCTTTATAAGATCATCTGCCTATAGATTGCCTCGATAAGGTCCTCTGGTTAGAGAAATTTTTTCTTGAAAATTTTTCTAGTTGTCGAAAACCTGTAAAAGACCTCTGGAAAGCCTTCTGACAATAGAGAGTCATAGGAATATCTACAAAAGGTTCTATGACTGTAGGAAGTCTGTCGAAGGTATTCTGGTTATTGAAAAACCCTAGAAGGCCTCTATGCGCTATAGTAGGCCTCAATATGGCCATCATTGGAAGCCCCCTAAAAGATAATCTGACTATCAAAAGTCTCTAGAATCTCTTTAAAATGTGCTCTGGCCATAGAAGACCATCTATAGGTTTATAACACCCTCTAGCTATTAAAGACCTCTTTAAGTTCCTCAGATTATTAATGATTATAGAAGACCGCCATAGAAGGTCATATGACTATTTCAGAAGGTCTTCTGTCCCTAGAAATACCCTTGAAGGTCTACTTGGTATGGAAGATCTTTTGGCCACAGAACACCTCCAGAAGCTCCTCTGACTTTAAAATACCTTATTAGGTCGTCTATTCACATTAATCCTTTAGAGATCCTGGCTATAGAAGATCTTTTGAAGGTCGTCCGCTTATAAAAAAATCTCTCAGAATATCTTCTAGGTAGGGAAGGACTCTAACGATTCTTCTGGCCATTGGAGACTATGTCAAGGTATTCTGAATTCATGTGCATTCTTGGAAATCCTCCTGCTATAGAGAGCATCTAGAATGCCTTCTAGATATAGAAGATCTCCAGAAAGTCTTCTGGCTATAGGAGGCCTCTATAAAGTCGTCTGGCCATAAAAAGGACTCTCAATGGTTATCTGGCTTTAAAAACCCCCTGAAGAAGGTAAGAGGAAGTTTTCTACGTGTAGAAGGTCTTGGTGAAGGTCTTCTGGTAATAAAAGGACTTTAGGAGGTCCAGCAGCTATAAAAGCCCTCTATAAGGCCCCTGATTTCCTATGACTATAGTAAACAGCCAGAAACGCCTCTGATCATAGAAGGTCATCTGGCTTTAGTAGGCGCCTAGAAGAACATCTGCCTATGGAAGCACTATAGAAGATTTTCTAATTATCGAAAAAAAAAAATAAATTAGAAGGTTTCGATCTTTAGAAGTGGCTTTTATGACGTACTGAGTATAGAGGGTCTGCCTTCATACAATAGAAGGCCTCTAGAAAGACTTCTGGCCATAGAAGGACTTCAGAAAAAAGAAAGTGTCGTGAAGGTCTACAGATTATTGTAGATAGATAGATATTGTAGATAGTATAGAGGGTCTAACTTCTTACAATATAAGACCTCTAGAAGGTCTTCTGACCATAGAAGTACTTCTGGCAAAAGAACGCCTCTTGAAGGTCTACAAATTATTGAAGACATCTTGAAAGTCTCCCAGCTAAAGAAAGCCTCAATTAGGTCTTGGGAAGGATATTAAAAGGTTTCCTCAAAATAAAATCTCTTTAGAATGTAATCTGGCTATAGAAGGCCTCTATAAGTCATCAGGTCATAGGATGGCCTTATATAGGTCTAAACCATTTTCTGACTATAAAAAGACTTTAGATGATCAGCCAAAGTGCCTCTGACCATGGAAGGTTTTCCGACTATAGAAAGTGTCTGGAACGACTTATATCTACAGAAGCACGTTAGACTATCTACTGATTATAAAAAATAAATAAAAGTCCTCTAGATGGTATTCTGGCCATAGAAATCCTATAGAGGGTCTTCTGACTATAGGATACCTCTAAAAGCACGTTAGAAAATCTTCTGGCTATATAACCCCTTTAGAATTCCATTAGGCAATGAATGACTCCAATAGACTAATATAGCTATTATAGGACTTTATATGTCATGTAGGAGGTCGCCCTGGCATATATTCCACTAAAAAATCCTTTTGAGTGCCTTCCCGCTGTATAAGCCATTTATAATGTCTTCGAAGTAAGGAATACCTCTAGAGGATCCTCAGGGTATGGAAGAACTCTTTTTGGTATTTGAGATCTATAGAAGATAGTCTGATTTTATATGCCATATCGAAATTCCTCCAGCTGTAGAAGGCCTATAGAACCTCTTCAGGTTACAGAACACCTCTAAAAGTTTAACTGGCTATAAAAGGACCTTCCGACGTATATCCCTCTAAAAGACCTTTTGAAGATCTTCCGGCTATATGAGCCCTTTAGAATGTCTTCGATGTAAGAATAGCTCTAGAAGATCCTCAAGCTATAGAAGAACTCTTTTAGGTACTTGAAACCTTTTGAAGGTATTTTGATTTTATATACCATCTCGAAGGTCCTCCAGCTGTAGAAGACCTCTAGAAGCTCTTCTTGTTATAGAACACCTCTGAAAGTTCATATGACTATAGAAGACCTTCAGATGATCACCTGGCAATCGAAGACTTCTGAAATGTGCCTATATCTCCTGTAAATCATTTATTTGTTTTTCTGATAGCCATATTTGAATCTACCCCTCCTCTCTTTGTTTACATCCCCTCTCTCTCTTTATAATTAATTCACATAATTAATAATTGTTTTTCTTCTTCCTCTCTCTCTCTTTACAGCGTGTGGCGGCGCATCAACAGCAGTTGGCAGTACAAAGTAAGTTGTTGTTTTATTTATTTTTTTTCGAATTTTTATTTGTTTTGTTATCTATCGTCGTCCGGCGTACCTTCTCAAGTATGTAGCTATTTATTTGTTTATTTGTATTTTATAAGCAAAAAAAAGCAAGTACCAAAAACCAAAAACAAAAAAAAACAATAATGTTAACACAACAATCGATAATTATTGTTGTTATTTGTATTATTTTTATTTATTGTCATATTTATATTTGTTTATTTCAACTAGCAGCAATTCAAAATAAAATAAAAAAATAAAACCTTGACTTTGAATAATAAATTTTTGCAAAGAAGTACCCCCACTTGAGTTTCAAAATCAAATGGGTGGTAAAATGAATTGGGTGGATAAGATTGGGTAATAAATAATTGAAATTATAGACAAAATCTGGGATTCCTTGAAACATAAAAAAGAGTTAACTAAAAAAAAATAAAATTAAACAAAAAAAATTATAATAAAAAAATTAAAATTGAAAAATAAATTGAAATAATTTTTAATTTTTATTTTTTTATTATACCAATATTTTTCTCTTACATTGTCAGTGTACCTAAAATTGGTATATCGATGGTAAAAAGTTTTTTAAGGTATTCCGATTATAGAATAACGCTTCTGCCTGCCGAAGACCTCTAGAAAGTCCTCTAACTATTTAAAAAAAGGGCTCTAAAAGGTGTCCTGTCCTAGAGCAACTTTTCTCGCTGTAGATCTAAAAGACCAGTAGAAGGATCTCAGACTAATGAATGATTCTGAGGTCCTCTGAATATAGGAAGCATCTAGAATGTATTCGGACTTTAGAATACATTTAGAAGGTCTTATAGTTATAGAAGATCTCTAGAAGGTCTTTTTGCTTATAGATAGTCTTTTTTTACGGCTTATATATAGTCTTTTTTGGCGGCCCGATGGATACGCAGGTGACGAATAGTAGTGGCGGCAGCTTTGGCACAGCGGTAGCCCGATGAATACGTCAGCGGCGAGTAGTAGTGGCGGCAGCTTTGCACAGTGGCGGCCCGATGAATACGCGAACGACGAATAGGGTGGCGGCAGCTTTGGCACAGCGGCGGCCCGATGAATACGTCAGCGGTGAGTAGTAGTGGCGGCAGCTTTGTACGGTGGTGGCCCGATGAATACGTCAGCGGTGAGTAGTAGTGGCGGCAGCTTTGGCACAGCAGCGGCCCGATGAGTACGTCAGTCGCCGTCAACGCAGCTCGAAGAATAGGGAGTATTTCTACAACCCTCACTTGACCCTGCGTTCAGTCGCCGTCAACGCAGCCCGAAGAATAGGGAGTATTGCTACAACCCTCACTTGACCCTGCGTTCAGTCGTCGTCAACGCAGCCCGAAGAATAGGGAGTATTGCTACAACCCTCACTTGACCCTGCGTTCAGTCGTCGTCAACGCAGCTCGAAGAATAGGGAGTATTTCTACAACCCTCACTTGACCCTGCGTTCAGTCGCCGTCAACGCAGCCCGAAGAATAGGGAGTATTGCTACAACCCTCACTTGACCCTGCGTTCAGTCGCCGTCAACGCAGCCCGAAGAATAGGGAGTATTGCTACAACCCTCACTTGACCCTGCGTTCAGTCCAGTCCAGTCACCACAAATAGTCAAGGCTTATTGTTTGGCTTACTAAGACTCAATTCAACCAAGGTTGCGCGCCTTTTCTTCCTCCCAATCACACTTGACTCACCAGCCATCAACAGAAGACTGATCCCGATTGTGTGAAATGCGTCTCCTTTTATACCTTTTTGGCTGGTCATCTATTGTTGTTTTCTCATGACAGCAGCTGATCCCAATCTGACAGTTTTGCGTAGTTCCGCCATTTGCCACCAGGGGTTCCAACGTGGTATTTTAATGATAGCTATCTTCACTAGGGGACCGGTGTAACCGTTAAATTAATTCTTCAAACAAAAATATTTCCTTGTTGATTTTATATAAAAAGTAAATAAAAATTATATTGAAGATAACAATGTACCCCAAAAACGAAGAGCATGACTTTTGGGCGTTACAAGCTGTAGAAGGCCTCTAGAAAGTCCTTTGGCTCTAAAATACCTTTGGAAGGTCATCTAGCCCTCTAGAAGATATTTTGGCTATAGCAGCTCTTCATGATCTGTAAAAAAGTAATTCTATAACATTCTCTAAATATTGAAAGGTTATTAAAAGGTTTCCTATCTATAAAATGCCTTCAGAAGGTCATCTGACAATAGAATACCTCTATAAGTCATCTGGTCATAGGATGACTTTATAGAGGCCTAAAAAATTCTCTGACTTGAAAATCCTTCTCTGACTTTAGAAGATTACCGAAAGCGCCTTTGGCCCTAGAAGATCTTCCGCCTATTGACGGGCGTCTGGAAGGTCCTCTGTCTACATAAGCACTCTAGACGGTCTTCTGATTAAACAAAAAACCTTAAAAAGACCATCGACGTCTTTTAGAAGATCTCATGAATTTCATATAGATTTTTTCTAAACAAGGAAGAAGTTTTCTACTGTCTATAAATGCCCAACAGCTTCTCAGGACCTCTAACAAAAAGACATCAAAAACATACTCTAAATATTGAAGACCACCAAAAAGTGGCTCTGAGCCACTGTTCTGTTTTAGGAAACCTTAATACCCTAAAGTACCCTTAAAGATCCACTGGTGAAGATTTTATTGCTAGAGAAGTGTTATAGAAGGTTTTTCCGGATACTAGTTATTGAGTACTTCTGGCTATAGAAGGCCTTTGGAAGGTTATCTAGCCATAGATGATCTCTAGAAGATAATATGGCTATATTCGACGTCTATAAGCTGCTCTAAACTACAAAAATCTATTTTTTTGTGACTACATAAAGTCTCTGGAAGATCATCTGGCCATAGAATTTCTTCTGGGTATATACGGAATCTAGAAAGGTCCTCTGGCCATAAAAGACCTTTGGAATGTTCTCTAGCCGTAAAAGGCCTCTAGAAAATATTATGTGTATAGTAGACGTCTATAAGATGAAGACCACAAAAAGCGTCTCTGGCCATAGAAGGTCTGCTCGTTATAGAAATTGTTCTATCTATTTTTGGTTATAGAATATCTCTAGAAGGTCTACTACTATCTATACAAACTTCTGGTCATAGGAAGAGATTATATGACTATAAAAAGACTCACTATGTAATCGGAGCACAACTTATAAAAGGTCTTTAGAAGGTCCTCTAGACCTCTGGAAGTAATTCTAAGTACAGAAGACCTCTAAAATGTTTTCTGACTATAGAAAAATCTAATCTATAGAAAGTCTTAGGAATTTTCTGGCTATAAGAGGCTTCTACAAAGACATCTGGTCATAGGAAGGCCTCTAAACAGTTCTCTGATCTATAAAAGTCAGGTCATAGGAAGACCTCTAAGAGATTATCTGACTATAAAAAGCCTCTACTAGGTAATCGGACCACAACGTATAAAATACCTTTAGAAAGTCCTCTAGACCTCTGGAAGCGATTCTAAGTACAGAAGAGCTCTAAAATTTTTTCTGACTATAGAAAAATCTATAGAAGGTCTTTTCTGGTTATATGAGGCTTCTATAATGACATCTGGTCATAGAAAGGTCTCTAAACAATTCTCTGACCTATAGAAAGTCATTCGACCATTTGAAATTGTCAAAATTCATCTAGGTCTTCAAGTCTCTAGATTATACTTTGGCTATTGGGGAGTTTTTTGAAGGTATTCTGACAATCTGAGAGGTCCTCCAGGTGGTAGAAGGGCTCTGGAAGGTCTTGTGGTATAGATAGCCTTCGAGTGATATGTCGAGCTCTTCCCAACACGTAAGCTCTGTAGAATGTACTCTAACTTTATATGCCATCTAACAGGGTCTTCTGGCAATAACTTTCAATAGTACCCTTGTCATAAACGCTTCCCTAAAAGATCCTCTGTCTGTCGAAAGCCTCTAGAAAGGTCTTCCGGCTATGTAAGCTCGTTCATAATGCTTTCTGACCTAAGGAAGGGCTTTAGAAGATCCTTTGGCTATTGAAGGGCTTCTGAAGGTATTCTGACTTAATATTCCACCTAAAACGGACCTCCATCCATAGAAGGACTCTAGAAGGTCATCTGGTTTAAAAATGTCTTAAAAAGGTTTTCTTTTTTGTCAAGACATCTAGATCTCCCGCTTGGCGTATTTTCACATCATAAATTTCCTTACATTGTAATTTTAAACAATAACAAATTCTTATTTATTTTTTATATCTTCTCACAAACTAACAAAAATAAATTTTTAACCACAAAAAAAAAATCAGATTTTCAAAAGCGAACCAACCAGTCGACCACAATTGTGGGGCCACAAAATAACAGCTGTCAATCAGCACCAGCAAGCAACTAGAATAGTCTCCTCTATTTTTATTGAAAATTTGTGTAATAGGATGTCACAATAGATGGCTGTAAAAGGACTTTGGAAGGACCTCTATCATTTTTTTATTTTTTATTTATTTAATTATTATTATTTATTATTATATTTTTTTTAAATTATTTTTTTTAATTAATTTTTTGTGGACCCTCTAATGTACAATTCTCAATACATATATAACTTCCATTTACAGTCATCTTTTTTTTTTTTTTGTAAAAAATTCATTTTTGTATTTTTTTTTTATTTTTCATTTCAACATGTTCTTATATTTTTATTTATTTGCCTTTTCTTCTTCTTTTAATTTTTATTTTTGCCATCCAAAAAAATTCTGCCCATTTGGCAAACAAACCACCATAACCCCAGCCATAAATTTATGCATTTTTTTTTTTTTTTTTTTTGTTTAAAAATTTTGGTGTTCTTCTTCTTCTCCTCTTTACATATTGTCGGTGCCTAGTTGCTGGTACGCCGGCTGACTGGCTGGTGGTCGTTCCAAGTTAGGAACAAGGCAACAAATATTAATACGCAATAAGTTTCCTCCTGCTGCAAATGCATTTTTCAAATTATCGTCCACCAAAAAAAAAAGTACAGAAACCAAACCAAAAAAATTGCAACTGGTGGTGGTGACGGAAGAATCGGTTGT